ATGTTAAAAGTACAAATAGAAACTGGTGAAATTAATTTCATCATTAAATTTTATTTACCCCAGTGTACCCAAAATATTATCCTTTCAACATGTAGTAGACACAAAAATTTGTTAATAAGGTATTGGTGCTCTTTTTTCATATCAGATTCTGGAAACCCAATGTGCATTTTTGTGTTTATAGAACATTTTAATTTGAATTCTTCACATTTCAAGGGTTCAAAAGCTACAAGAAGCCAGTTACTGCCGTAGAGGCTACATAGCTTTATTCTTTCCACCGTCTGCATGAAGGTGTCTGTATTATGAAATAAAGTTCAATGTTAGAGAGAACTAAGAATGTTCTTCATGATCAAAGACGCGAAATGATGGTTCTTAACAGTGCTGTGAATCAAAGGGGAAAGGGAAAGGGGAAACAGGAGCGGGGAGAAAAGGGAGGACAAGAGAAAAAAATGTAAGGTTAATTAGATGCTGTTAACTAATTTACTTGCAACTAATCATATAAGCCAGATCTCTAGAAATGTTGTTCCTTTGGGAACATTCTTGAAGTACTAAATACTCGAATCTTGAGTTTCCATAACTCTCCTTGTGATATTCAGATTCGAAAGTGAACCTGTGCATGTGGAATTAGCTTCAAATTCTTAAATGAAAAATGTCCATTACACACACAAAAAAAAAATCTCTATTTTCGATTGATTATTCCTCTTAACTTCCAATTCTAAATGGGAGATATAGGGCTTAGGGTTCACTGTGTATTGCTATTATAGGTAATCTGCATGTTAATCTTCATATAATCCCCAGGAGTAGTTTTGTTTCTTTTCAATTGCAGAGAAAACTATCCTGCAAGTACTTTTGCCCTTGGGAGGGAAAAGTTGGGATGGATGATGACTCCCCTTGTTTTTCTACCTGGATCATCATTTGTGAGTAGAAAGCTGATGCCACCAATAGGGTGTGGGCAGCGTCCTATGTCCCTGTGAGGGAAGGCCAGTTTTACCTGCTTGTTTTCCTCCATTTACTGAAGAGTTTAAATAACTCTTTTAAATTCATACTGGGTAAGTGTTGTGGGGCGGAGGGGGGGGAGATTGAAGGATTTAACTGCATTCCTCCCTTATTCTTTGATTCATGGCCCCTTGTTTCCCAAAATTCTATGCCTTGATCCTTTCCTCTTCTCATACCCTGACCCTACTTTATGACCTCCAGGATTCTGCCTTCCCTTTGCATTATCTCTGACATGTCATCTTCAAGCCTAAAAATTTCACAGTCAGCAGCTCTCTCTCTTACTTGCTTTTCTCAAACCAACATGATTGCTCCTGTTCAATGTCTCCTGAATTTTCTAGGGAAGTAAGAAGGATGAGAGAGCACAGGCCTATGGATGTGTTGATAGGGAGAAAGGGCTTCCTTCTGAAAGATGTCTAGTTTTATGCTACATGAGCTTTAAAAATGATTAAAACTGCAGGATTTTACTACTCCGAGGATAAATAATCTTCCCTATAGCTTCAGATAGTGCACATGAGAAACGAATCCTCTTTCTATTAGCATATTTGACTCTTCCATGTAAAATAAAACGTTTGAGTGTGCTACAAGTATTCACCATTCCTGACTTGTTTTGTACAAAACATGATTTTCTTTTCTTCCATTCCATATAGCCAAATGGTTCTTCTCTAATTAGTAGCTTTCTCTACTTACATGGTGGGGGACTGGAAACTGAGGTTTTCAGCTCACTCTGATATACGTTAAACATAACAATGACGACTGGAATATTTGGTGTGTATCAGGTCTAATCCCCAACACTGAAGAAAAATTTTTAAAAAGCAGAAAACAAAATTTCTTTCCACTTGAGATAATTCTAGTTTAGAGCTGTTTCTTTAATAAGGTCTGACTAAATAATCTAAATTACAATCCACTTGTTTTATTTCCTTCTGGCAAATATCCATTGTCAGCAAATCACTGACTTCCAAAGGGACATAATAAAATAGCAGAAGTATAAAGCAAGGTGTTCTCAGGTACAGAGGCCCAGCTAAATAAAATACAGTCATATAGGTTTATCCAATACTATTCTGGGACTAGTTAATTTTCCAAATAGTTAAGAACAAAGCCTTGCTCTTGATATCTCAAATCTTTCAGGAGCTCTAATCCAGTAATTATCAGAAGGGCTATAGAAGTGACCAGGTTGTATGTTGCAACCTTGAGTCTGACGTTTTAAGGCATTCCCTCTTCTCTCCTACTGTCAAGGCCCTAATAATTCCACCTTATGCCTATAGGCTCTTTTAAAGGTGTACATTTTTTCCATCCAACATATATCTTGTGGCTTGTAATCTGTGCTTGGTGAGAAAGCCTCATAAATAAGTTGGTTAGAATTCTGTGTATATTTTAAAAAATAGTGGCTGAAATTGAGTGGCTCACCTGCAAATAAGTAGCATGAACTTAAGGCTGTAAGCTTTTGTGGTATTAGAATTGGGTGTGGCACCTGTTTGGGCCTATGAGGACTTATTTGCTTCATTTTCAGTTTTTTTCCTGAATAATATATATTGTGGTACAGGAGATTTAATTAAGTGAGCTACTTCTATTATTATCAGCAAAATGACTTTTCTGTCATTTTACTATATATTAAGATGTGAAATCTGTTGCCTAGTATAAGCCAAAATACCTTTGAGAAACACCTAACGTGTGTGTGTGTGTGTCAGAGAGAAAGAGAACATCCATCTTTCTGAATGATTATATCCCCGTAAGCAAAAAAGGAAGCTGTTAAAAATCATACTCATGAAGGTTTGTTCTTGCTAATTTACTTTAATTTCCAAGCATTTTCTTGCTGTAATAAATAGAGCAGACTGGGGATAATAACCTTTGATGACCAAAGATGTTTCATTGGGAGCATCTGTTTTTGTGACGTAGGACAGTTGCCATAGATAAAGGAGAATTAGGAGGTGGGGCTGCGTGTGATTTGGTATCACATCTCCTGGAGAGTGTAAGGAAATATTAAAATAAGATCCATCTGACACTTGATTTATTTCTTGTATTTTTTTCATTAGAGGAATTTGGTTATTCTGGTTTTGTTTCCTATTATCTGGTTTAGGGAATTCAAGCTTTTCCTACCATAGAAATATACCATCAATGACAAGTGTAAATCCTGTTACTAGATACAATAATTTAGTCACTACTTTTATGCACTAATTTTAGAGAAAATCAGGAAATGAGGAAGGAGAAGAAGTTGCTAATACTACCAATATAACTCTAATACTATAGATTAGATTGACAGAATCTAATGCTATCAGTGTCCCCAGATTTCATCAGCTAAAGAAATAAAGCTTTAAAAAAATTAAAAAATAAAACAGTGCAGCTCCTATAAGTATGGCTTGGTGTAACCCTGATGCTTCTGTTTCCCTCCCAACATTAATGTCCTGGCTCCTATGTTTTCCCATTTAGCTGGCACGGGACTGTGCTGACATATACTCAAACTCTGTGTGCTTCCTTGGACTTTCCCTTTTTCCTCCAACTAGCTGGAACTCTCATTGTTGCATGAGAAGAAGTACAATATCTGTCTTAGAGGGCTCCCCCAAAAGAGCATGCACTATCTCAGAAAGTTACAACAACAAGCTTTTTGTGGGATCAGTGTGTCCTTTTATGCTATCCAAAGGAAACCCATGAAAGTAAAGCCACAAAAACCTCTACAAATGAGTCTTGAGAGGCAGTGATGAGATCCCATGCCTCAGGCAGAGGTCAGGTCTAAGCCATCCTATTGAAAATCTGCTTGAGTTCACCTGAGAATTCCACCTACAGGGTTTTGGGACCTTCTCTGTGCATGTGTCCAGGATCTTGTAATTAACAGGTCACATCTACTTCCTCAGCCATCTACCTATTTGCTTATCTCAGTAAGTCTTCTTTTCTTTTTTTAGTCCCCATGCCACCAGCACGCAGGCAATGGAGCTGTCTACACATAAACTTATGGCAACTACTTTGCCTGCACTGACTTCATGTTCAGTGAAAGTTTCTGCTTTTCTCATTCTTGATTGTAGGGACTGATTAATGCCCTCAGGTAATACAGAATGTCAAGGAGGTTCTTTTTTGTGTTTCTAATAATTTACAACAAAAAATTAATTCATCCCTTTGAGGTAATAAACATTTTCAAAATTTCTCTGACCATGTCTTTCTTTAGAGGTTCAAGAAAGAAGAAAGAAAGCATTTAAGACATAAAAACTAAAGAATTTACTACCTATCTTAGTTATTTTTCATGTTGCTGAGACAAAACACCCAACACCTAAAGTTATAGAAAGAAAAGTTTATTTTGGCTCACAGTTTGTAGAGGTTTCAGTCCATAGTTGGCTGGCTCCAAGGCAGAGCGGAGTGGCAGAGGCATCGTGGAGGAGAAATAGTTCATGGCAGGTAGGAAGGCAGCAGAATACGGAAGAAGCAGCAACCCCATTGGGAGCAGTTCTACATAATTTTGGGAAAGTCATTTGATGAGGCCTAGTTCTCCTGCCTACAGGCCAGCTATGGCATGTTGAGACAACTTCATTGTGACCCCCAGTCACAGCTAAGACCTCAGTGGTCCACTGATGCTGTGATGCTCCAGGACAAGATTACACCAGTTGAAGATTATCCTGGGAGGAACAAAATCTTCATTTGCGTAGTTCCTCATTGTTCTAGGATTTTCCACTGCTGCTGCTGCTGCCTGCTGAGTGACCTTTTACATTTGTTACTCTCCAGATGTTCTGAACTCTCTTACCTGAGTGACCTTTTACACTTGCTACTCTGATGTACTGAACTCTTTGCTCTGAGTCTGTTAAATTAGTTTTCTCCTGATGTACTGAATAAAGGTGTGGCAAGCCTGGGGGCTTTTATCTTTGTTACCCAAAGCAGCACTGATCAGGCCCAAAGCTCAACTTCTTGAAGTCTCAATTTTTCCATCGTTCCTGTGTAAGTAGTTCGCCTTGTGCTGTCGTGGCTCGCAGGAGACTAGGACTTACTGCAGAGGTTTCTAGTAACGGCCCCTTTCCTGTTCCCTGCAGTTGGCACCCAAAGTGGACGTGAATTGGATCCACTGGTGAACTCACCTGTGAGACAAACTTGGAGTAAAACAGACAGCACTCAGATCTCCCAGGACTGTTTCCAGACAAGGACAAGGGACACTGATGGTAAGTTTGTCCAGCTAATGGCAAACTTCTATCTTTGCTGAATTGAAAATATAAGTCAGTCTCTGCCATCAGATTAGCATAACTTTGTCAGATTGCTTAAGTCCCTGTTAAAACAAGCTATGTATCCTGTACCAAAGGATGCTGTGATAGACTTGTTAAAAGACATAGAAATGTATGTCCCATCTTTTCCAAAGGAATGGACAACTAACTTAATAGCATGGGAATGTGTAGGTAGCATTCTCTGTGATGACCATTTTTCTGTCTCTTACATTTTATCCAAGTTGACCACTTAGGATGGATAGCACTCACACCCAGGGCTGGCATCCTTATCCTATCCAGAACTATGCAAAACCAATCAGTGAGCCAATTTAGTAATCAGACAAGCTTAATCCTAGCATTACACACTCTAGATCCAGCCACTTCTGAAAAAGCCCTACCTATGATCACATGAGGCTTTGGGTGGATATCTAGATACAAGCCATAACACCGCCCTTCAGACTCACTAAAAGGATGAATTCCAGAAAGAAGGAAGGCAAACCAAGAACACCAAACAAAGCTGGAAAAAATTTTAAAGCATGCTGGTGGCAAATTTGTTTACAATAAAAATAATGAAAAATTTTTTGTTTAAAACAAAAAAATATGTTTAAATATATTAACATTCTCACTAATCAACGTTTGAAATTCAAAATTTTCATATTATTTAATATTTTTAAGACACAATGGCCTAATGGCAGTAGTTAAATCATATAAAGGACCTTCTACTTTTCAACAGGTAATCAGAAACAGTGACTAAATATAGAATTTCTTTTCTAAAATTGAATTGTGAAGAATATGTATTTTTTAACAATTTTATTTTATTTTTTGAGGCAGGGTCTCCCTGTGTAATTCGCTTTTTTTTTTTTTTTTTGGTACCAGGGATCAAACTCAGGACCTTGTGCTTGTAAGGCAAGTAGTGGAACCACTGAGCTAAAACCCTAGTCCAAGAATATGTATTAAAAGGAATTTTGTTTCTGGCTATGATGAACCAACTTATATCAGACCAATTTCTTTTTCAGGAAACACAGGAAAGGCTAAATTAGGGGATGTTAAAAATGTGTTTAAAAGAATTGGAACATAAACTAGTTGATCTAAATTGTAGTACTGGAGAAAGTGAGATGTTAAAGAGCCTCACATGTAGGTCTGCTTTTGCTTTTCAAGTTTTGGTCAGACTTGCATAATGTGCCACTAATCTGAGCTGAGCAGAGGAAGTTCACAGAGAAGGAGGTGGAAAGCAGATTTTCTACGAGTAATTACTCCATAGAATCTTTCACACCTCAACTGACTTAGTTTCATCAAAAACCCTCCTGAAATTGAAGTTTCCTTTTGCTTCTTACTTGAAGGAAGAGCACTGAAATTTGCACAAATCAGATCTGGGTCAGCAAGGATGGGAGATGGATTTGAGAAAGCAAACAGAGACGCGGGAGCTTTCACTCCAGCTGAAATTAGAACTCACACACATATTCAGATGTGGCAAGGTGTTAGGATTTGCTAAATTTGAGTGATGAGCATGTGTTGATTTTATTGTCTATCAGTTTTTCTGTTTAAAATAGTTAATATGGATTAAGTGTAATATGAAATTGTATGATTCCCATTCCTGCTCAGCCTTTATACTCTCCCTCTTCTCAATTATCTTTGCAAAATGATTTAAATTCTGACTCTGCTTTGGGTACACTCATTGGATTTTCTGCAACATTTCAAATTCAAACTAAAGTATGTTATTTCATTAACTAGACTTATTTGTTTTATATAACTTATCATCTGTCATTTTCAAATCTCCTGATTATTTTATAGTTTTATGTTTAATACAAAAAATGTGAACAGTAATTAAAAAATGTAAGCATGTTACAAAATTTAAGACACCTAAACTCAAATGTAGAGCAAGCAATTTAATGCTTGAGGGAGGACCTACCTAATTAAGGAAACTCATTTTATTAACTATTTTATACTTTTCAAAAATTATTGTATCCCTGGGTTATTGGAATTGCACCTTATTCTTCATATTCTATTGATGAGATAAAATCAAGTAAATTATATATTAATCAATAATAGTTTTATCTTATTTATTTTACAAAAGTGTTTTAAATATAAATACTTAACTCCGGAGTTGTAAAGATATAACTTATAGTGATACGTGAATATGATGTTTATAGCTACACAATTTATAACAGCAAAGACTTGAAAGCAGACTATGTGCTCATCGACAGATGAATAGATAAAGAAAATGTGGTGCATATTCACAATGGAGTACCGCTTAGTCATAAAAAATTCAAAGATTATTTAGGAAAATGCATATACCTTGAGTCTATAATTTAAGTAAAATAAATCAGACACAGAAGGGTAAATACTTCATGGTTTCTTATGTATATGTATGTATACCAGCTTCCCATAACAAATGTATTTAATATGAATTGCAAACATATATAGAAATAAAATTTTTTAACAAATAACTCCAAAAAGGCTTGAAAATAATCATATTTTAGAGCATACTGAAAATTACTGGGCTCGGTAGACCTTTTGCAAATTCAGCTGGGTAAGAACAGCAAATATTAAAGGTAATCCATCATGCCAGGTTGCATAGGGATACCATTTCCAGGTGACTCATGAGCATACAGGTATACGCTGTGACTCAAACAAAGTTCACCCATATAAGGACATAACTGTGGCATTTCTTTCTCCATTATTACCACAACTTCTTGGGGAGTTTTCCAAGATCTAGTCATCCATTACATGAAATAGAACCCTACAAACTATGAAACATTGAACATGAAAATAGTTCCTGCCTTTGCTGGGTCCTCTGTAACCTACTTCTAGAGGTAGTATTGTGTTTTACATGATTATAAGACTGGCAGGTTTTTTAACTTTCAAAATGGATTGTTCAATGTTGTTTGTCCCACATAAACACTGTCAAAAACTAGGTTCTTCGGAAGTACAAAGAGGCCACAATTTGTAGACACTCATCAATTCTATAGCCTTAAGTACTTGGTTACTGCCTAAATATATTGGTCTAAAGAAAGTCATGTTGATGTTATTCTTTCTAAAGTATATATTTGGATTATATTATAGTGACAATGAGGCATATAAATTAGCTAATTTGAATTAATTGTACTCAACTTTTGTCAAAAAGTCTTAGAAGAAACAAGAAGGAAGTTCTCAGTAAAATTTAGATTTACATAATCATGGTGCCTTCTAGTCATGAGGTATATAAAAAATCCATTGCTAACATAGATGGAATGGGGCCTTCCAGGAATGGTACCAAATCACCATGTCTCCATTTAAATAAACAAATACCTGTCTGATACGAGCTCAGTTAAAATAATTGATTATGAACTAAGTAACCAAAAATAAACAGTCCAGTTGCTCCTTTGAAGAGGATAGATAAATGATTTTCTAACCTAATGAACCAGACCCATCCTCATGACTTAGCAATCATTAGCTGCATGTGTGAGAACCGGCATGAGACAGACAGTCTGAATCATAAAGGAGCCAACATTAAAAATAGAAGGAAAAGCTACATTATTAATTTGCAAGTCAGTATTCTCTATAGTTAATAAATAAAAATGTAAACAATAAAATCACCACAGTCTCACATGAAAAAGCATAACTCAGAACCTTTTTTCGCCATTTTCTTTCCTTATACACACATGAGAATAGTATCAGAAATGTAGACAAAAAAGCCCTAATGAAAATATGGCTTTAAAACATAAAAATTGGAATGTTCAAATAGTGAGAAAATAACCATAAACAAACATAGGTTTTTTTTTTAGTTCTGTTTAGCCTTAACACTCAATCAATTATTGTTTCACAAAAATATTGCTCTCCATACATCCCTGGCTCTGCTCAGTCACCTTGTTCCTAAAAGCAACCAGTGAACTTTCTTGTGGTATATGAGGTCAGTCTGAGAAAAAGAAACTGTGGTTCATTTTAAATTAAATTTCCTGTCCCCATGTCATCACACCACGTCAAACCTAACTCTTAAGCCAGTTAAAGTAATTATTTGCAAACTGAAAACTATATTTAGTAAAGTTTATACCTTTATTTTTTCCTATATATGTCATATCCTAAACATTTTTAAATCTTAAATAGTTTAAAATCATTTAATTAAATGAGTCATTGCTCATCTTTTGTTTTCTAGTTTTGTATTAGGGTCCAGTGAATGTTTTGAGTACATTTTATGTGTCATATGTGATTTTAGTACTAGGGAACAAAGACAAATTAGGTTGAAGAAGCTTACATGCAAATGAGAGAAAGCAGACATATAATTGGATAATTTTAATATATTCACAGCATTTCCTGTGAGTGCCTGTTCAAGCTGTGAATAAGTTGTCCAACTGTCTTGTAGAGGGAAAGAGGAGGCAATTGGCCCTGTCTGGTTCTTCGAGAAGGCTCTTTGTCCTAGATAATTATTAAGTTGACTTTGGAAGGAAAACTAAAAGCCAATAAGAAAATAAGTTTCAAAGAACATTCTGAGCAGTGGTATCAAATATTGTTAAACATGATGTTATGGATTGAAAAGTTGTTCCATGAAAAGCTTATGTTGAAGTTTAATTGCTACTGTAACAGTTTTGAAATGATTAGGCCTTGAGGGCTCCATCCTTCAGGGTACCTCAGAATATTTGTCAAATGAAAGGAAAGAAGCCAAAAGAGATGAACTCAGAATTTGTTTCTGACTTTTCGTCTCTCAGGTATTCTGTTAGAAAATAAGGATACATGTGTCTGTAGAATAAGATACACGACATCAGTTTAAAAATAACATGGCAATGAAAGAAATGAATACATTAATATAAACAGCAAAAAACATGTTCTTATCAATTTGTGCACATATTATTTTTCAAAAAAATATTAGTATCACACTTTGTTCTTTAAAGGAACATGAGGTACATTAGAAAAACCACTCCTGCGGGATGGCATGTGGTAGAGTAAGAAATTTGAGGTAAACATTCACTATCAAATAGGGTGGTTTG